TCCTTCATTCTTTTAGTTTTGATATTTTGATTTCGATTCAAAATACCAAATTACACAATAATGTAACGACATTCATTGAAAAAATAATACTTTTCTCGAAATATTCATCATGTAATCTGCAATGATTATTTAGTTTGTTCATCTGACATTTAGCATTGGACTTCGTTACGGACTGATGAACTTCAACCTTGTTGTAGATATTCCATTTATTCTCAAAGCATCTTCTTTTTTCATGTCTGTGGTCAAAGAGTGGAATTTTACTTTGTGCATCTGTTTTTTTGCGATTGCATATGCGGCTATATTCATTGACTCTCGAACTCCATCTTCGACTTCATTACTTTTTTTATAGAACTTATATTTTCGTTTTCATTCATCAACTCATTAAGTATACAAATTAAATATAATTAATATAAGTGCCTTTTTTTCTTTTTGGCCATCAATTGAGTATATAAAAAACATGATGGTTAGCAACGATCAATAATTATGAGCAAAAACTAGATTTCCTTTCTTGTATTTTTTCCCTAAAATGCTCGATTACTTTCGAGATGTTTCGCATAGTTTTAGTACGCTGATCACGCGCTGTGGACATTCACGAGGTATATAGTCAAGCCGCATTCGCGGCATATCCACTCATGAAAAAGGGTTCCAGATGACCTCGAAACTAATCGAACATTCTTGTCAAAAATATACGTAACTCAATCCGGTTGTTAGAATTAAAACATAATATAATACATATTGTAAGAAACTTTATTGTTATTCGTATATAATCTAATCGTATATAATCGTATAGAAAACTAAATAAAGTAAAATCCTAAAGTGGGTTATTTTTCTCTATTGACACGGTGAACCCATGTTTTTTTGGAGAAAATATCCAGTTTTACTGATACGATACTCCCTTAAAAGGATTTTCATAAATTACAGTCTATACACCTGTATAGGCATACTAACTACTGAAGTCTACTTTAGAGACAAACTACATTTAAGGTGAAAGATAAATCATTAAATGTCGGAACAAATTAATTTAACTTACTCGTGGCACAATTAATTCGGGCAATCACAGGTAGCGTGTACCAATTTAGAGCGGACCAAAAATTGGATATGCGGTGAATAATAATTTTCCCAGGGGATTGGACTGCGTTGTCCACATTTAAGGTAATTGCCAACAGTTTCGGCTGACGTGGCCACAGGTAAACCTGACACTCGTTCCCAATGGGACACCCTTTGCAATCCCATTTATAAATGCCGATTAATCAAATTTTTATTTATCATTTGCCCAGTATTTAAAATTGCTATTGCCGAATTAAATATATTCCTTTTCGTGGGTCACGTTGTATACGGATTACATTGAGTGAGTTCAAGAAAGTACAATATCATTTCGACGTGTACTACCCACGCATACCAATAAAATACATGTGATCCTTTCACGCTTATGTCTACAATATATTTATTTTGGAAAACAAGTAATCAAAAATAAATACTAAATATATCTATGACATCTAAATTTCTATACAACTAGGGCTTACACTAGACTATGCACTAATTATGATAAAACGAAATTCTTTAAAATTAAATTTGCAATTTACCTTGAAGCAAAATTTTCTATTACTGTTTATAAGTCAATTTTTAACCTTGCCGTTTTTGTAAGTGCTCATATTTTAACTAAATACTTATTATAATCTAAAAATCTGTGAATTATTTAAATTTACTATTTGTAAATAAAAGTTATAACGAAATATTGTACTAGTGTACTTACATAACCAATACCAATACCAAAGGCAAATTTTCCATTACCAAATAAAATCAAATTATTGATATTTTAAACAATAATATACACGTGCAAAATATATAAAATGTTTGTTGCTCGATAACATGGGCGAATTATTTATATATTAATAGTTTAACACCTGATACTTTTTATCTGTACATGGCGATGCTACTCTAGACCATAAGCTTGAAGGAACCTGTAAATCTACTCACAACTTAAAACTTTGTGATGAAATTAAACCCGAGCTAACTTTACTTTCTAGTAGTGTACATTCCAATTAATGGACAAGGCTATATATGAGTCGAGAAGTATAAAGGTCGAATGAATAATCGCTCCACTTATAGTGCACTTTAGTAATACATAAACATAAAAGTAGTTTTGGGTATATACTTCCACTAAAGAAGCACGCAAGCAATTCGCCTTGTCACTATGAAAAGGAGAGCACTGTATGTCTTATCAAGTTTAGATATGATGAAAATATTAAACACATTAAATGAAATTCCACGTTGCTACTAATACAATACACACAAACCTACGCATATTTAATGTATGTAAAATTTCAGAAGATAATATCGAAGTAATCTCCTTAAACCCAACAACTTCCAGAACTTAAGTGATACCGGTGGCGAGGTAGATTGAAGCGTAGGTGAGTTGTCAATTTGGACCCATTGGAAGTAAAACGTAAAAGTAAAAGTGTACAAACGCATTGATCTTTAAATATAGACATGAAGAGACATAAATAGAAGGCCTTTATCTAACAGTGGAATAATTTGGATATACGTATGTTAGAAGATGTCTAATGAATTAATAAATTACCTGATCGGTATCGAACCCTTAAGTCTTAGGAGAGATTTTGCCTCACTCTACGTATTCTACCGCTTGTACAACGAATTGTGTTCAGAAGAATTATTCAATACGATGCCTACGGCCACTTTCTATCATCGTACGGCTCGCCATCGACAGGGAGTTCACCCTTATACCTTACAGCCTAAATGGTCGCGTACAACGCGGTTTCAGAGATGTTTTCCCCCACAAACACTCAGATTATGGAATGAGTTCCCTGCCGAGGTTTTCCCAAGAGACTACAGCACGGGGTTCTTCAAAAGGGGGTAAAGAGGTTTCTTCAGGGTCGGCAATGCGCGCGTAATACCTCTGGTATTGCAGGCGTTCATAGGCTACGGTAACCGCTTACCATCAGGTGGGCCGTATGCTTGTTTGCCACCTCAATGGTATAAAAAAAAAGTATAGGTACTCCGAAACATCTGCGATATTGTCCGCTTCACCTATTCGTGACAGTGCTTAGAAACTATTGTAACTAATGTGGTCAATGTCCACATCCTGGCTGAATTCCAAACCGAATATGCTCAGTAGAAGAAAAGTTATTCTGCAAGAAGTTAGAACTTGTTTTAAGCGCTATGCCTTATTCTGTGATTACAGTAAGATAAGAGAAAAGAAGTAGATATAAATATTTATAATAATACAAAAATACGGGTTTACAATTTTTACTGTTACGCTTGCTCTGACATTGAAGGTGGCTTTATATTTACCATTTGTAATAACTACCATACCGGTACTTAAATCTATTATAAATACCGTAATGATGACCGTCATAACATTGACTAAGTTCCATTTGTATTGATCGACGTATTGTAGTGGTTATTTCATATCTATTTTTAAATTTATATTAATATTTATTATTATTTAATAGACATCAGTAACTAGTAGTGAGTATACATTGTTTCAGTGACAGCTTATATTAATGTATGAATTAATATTAATGTTAGTCACTAAATTTAAAACGCGGCAAAATTAAACGGACTAAAAATACGTCGATTTGACGAGACAACGTGATGGGGGGGGGGGGGCAGGGAATGTTGTCACACTCGAGATTTACAGGGAAAAGGCAGGAGAGAGCGGGGCGGAAAGGACCGCCACTTGGACACGTTGCGCCTCCCTACCACCCTTCGCCGTGCCACTTATTCATCATTTACGTATATTTGAGTGTGATTTCGTTTGGGATCGGCCCAGAACTCCGGCCCTCTTACTCACTTACATTAGTTACATTAGATGTTACCGAATCTTGTTTCATTCAATTTCCACAGAGCTATTATCTTTCGCCACTCATAGTAATAGGGATTCCTTTCAGAAACGTAATAATATTTATTGGGTGTTTCTAGAGCCTTGAAAGGTTTAGGTTGTAGTTACGTACTCGCTTAGAACCCATATAAATAAAAGTTATACAAAGATCTGATATAACAATTATTTCATATTGTATCAATTTTAATACGAAAGTTAAAAAAAGACAAACATTGCACCATTATATTTTTTTATTAGATATAAAAATGTTATACACATTTATCAACATTATATAAAATTTGTTTCTTAATATTCAAAAATTTAAACCGCAAACCCGTCTTATAAAATAAGAACATCTCTAGAGCCTACAATATCACATTTTTTTTGTTTGAACGTTTTATTTTCACTAAATTCTGTAATTATGACTAAATTAGCTAACTGTATTTTTTAACCACCTCATCAATCAATAAAATCAATAAAATGGGTGAATTGAAAGCCTTTTGATTTTTTTTTCACGAAATTTTCCACTTCACAATTGTATTTGCAGTAACCCAGCTCAGGTTTCAACATTGTTACTGATCTGAAACCTTTTAAAAATACGACAACTATTGTCAACTTGTCACAGCGTGCTTTTATACCTTGTTATTACTTGCATTAATATTCCAGAAGAAAGGAGTTTGAAGTAGAAATGTGCGCAATATTGACATTATAATGAAGCTTCTATAAAATATATAAGTTACAGTTTAAATTTTATTTACACAATATGCCATTAGATATAGTATAAATTACCTGCATAATATTTTTATATGAGAACAGTGTATAAATAAGTTGATCTATTTTGGACGCCAAATTACTAAAACAAATTTATTTAGTATGAATTCTTTATATACTATAACATATTATTTTTCTGCGTTTCCATTAGATATTACATGTTCTTCAAATATACTTTCCGCTAACATCTCATTGTGAGGATTGCATAATATATTACCAGCAATTATTTTAACATTTCGCTTGCTCACCGTACATCGGTTTATTTCGTTCCCAATTGTTTTTACATTACTAACTATCGGAATCTTCAGCCGTTTCATATTTATGTAGATAAATTTCTGCTCACGTTTATATTATTTGATATAATAAACTATTCTCAATTTTGTTACAGATGGTTACCAGGACAAAGAAAATCTTTGTAGGAGGGCTATCAGCACCCACAACGCTGGAAGACGTAAAGAATTACTTCGAACAATTTGGACCGGTGAGTACTAATTTCCTGAGAAACACATCAACGGTTATTCGTTTTAAAGATGATATGTTAAGAAAATATAATATATTTAGAGCATTTCGACGCCGCATTATACGCAACATGTCAGTTGAAAGCGCGAAGTTACGGCAACTTCGCTCGCGAAATTTAATTTACACTCAACTTTTTGGAAAAGTGTACTGAATTTGCGCTGTCATGTCCCATTTGTTATTAGGCAACGCTAATTTTGCCCGCAGCTAAATCATTTCGTGCACATAATATTAAATACGTTACCCTCAAATTTGGCATTTCAGCCAAACTTGCAAACTCTGTTATGATATTTGCCTACTGTACTTTGTTTCAATGGAAATTCATTAAACAGATTAACGTTAAGCTGTTAGATTAGGCATTACCTCTAATTGTTTATTTTAATGAATATATACATTCAGTAAATTAAAATAAACTTTTATAGTAATCGCCGTAATGAAATCTCTTTTAATTAAATATTCGTATGATGACAGTTTGTACATAAAGAAAACAATATCATTGTTTTCTTACTCCTCAAGGTTGATATTGAATAAGACTGCCTTGCAAGAATCTATCGTCTCAATTTGCGAAGTGGGACACACGAAATTGGACTTTTATGGGAGGCATTAAAGTTAAGACTCGCTTAGCACACTGTCCAGGCCTGTAAGCCTGCGATAAGTCGGTCTTTGTCTGGCAGCCGCGGCTCGGTGCAGGTGTCTATCTACAAAAGTTTCCTGGTAATTAGCTCCGTATCTAGTATGGATGTGAACTAAGAAACTTTTCAGAATTCAACATTGACTATAGTCATTGTGGCAGCTCTCAAAGTAATCGGCGCCCGCCAGCCGCCCGCGACGATCAAAACCTTCATTACCTATTATGAGAGTTTAGAATAAAGCCAACGAGTTTTTCGGAGTGAATGTGATTGATGCCGAGCGAAGGAAATATCCCGAGAGAGATAAAAGGAATTTAATGAAGAGTCTTTAAGAATAATGATTAAGGCAATGGTTATTCCTTTTGGTCGGCAGCCTAATGATGGGGTCTTTTGAATTACTTTTGTCTTTATATTGTAATATGTAACCGCAATTACGTTATTTAAATACAATAGATATTTGTGTTTTTGAAATGTATATAAAGTATGTTATTTTACAAAACAGCAAATTATGTAAATCGCTGATTTTGGAATATTTAATGGGAGTAAGTTCATGTTAATGGGTACAACTGTGAGGAGGAAACAATGCCATGTATTGAACAAGCTTAGTGTGTAGAGGCAAATAAATTATGGAATACCATTATTACATCCAAGAACGCACACCGAGAATTCTGATTACAAATTAATTCAATAACATTGAAGCCGTGCACTGTGCTCCCAGCTCGGCATCATTTCGTAAGGGTGTCACATTTTGAGCAAGTTTAATTAACAATCTAGTCGCTTTTGTAGGTGCCTTCATTAGTGTATTTGTGGATAAACATTGCGCAACGCGACTCAACGCAATCCGCAACGCGTGCGTGTGCGTGAGCTCGTAAAGTTTTGTAGACGGCGGGTCTTGTATCCGACGCCGATTGTGACGGTATGTCACATGTCAGTACTTTGATGTTCGTGTCATGTGTCCAATCATAAGTCAAGTAAAGATATTATAACCTATAATTTTTTAATTAAAAATTCTTAGAAATCCCTCTATAGGTGAAAGTTTTCAATGGGCCGTGTATGCACAATACAACGATGTGTGCGTACGATCCGTGACTCTGATGTCTCGATACCTCCCGGGCTTCCTACGTGCGAGCTTTCCGAATGCAAACTGTCTCGGAATATCAAATGAGCCACTTAAATACCGAACACAATGACTACACCCACCTGAAGCAAAAGCCGCGGGGACGCGTACACGCAACGCCGTAAATGAAAGCCCGGCGGGTCGGGGCCGAAGGGTGGGCGAGCAACCCCGGTAACGATTTCCTCCAGATAATGGAGAATTTTCTGATGAAAGCTGCTCGACAGTGCCCTTTCAAGGATTTAGAAACTGTTGGATTTATAGCCAGAATAGTCCGCGCAAAATTTCATCTTTATTACTATTTTCTATATCGTATGCATGTATATGTATAGCCATGCATATTGGTAAGTGAGTAATTATTGTAAAAATCGTGCTCACCAATAATCTTAAGTAATAATAATGTTTTCATCATGCAATTACAAGTTTTTAATTATTTAGTTTTTTTTTTTTTTAATTACAAAATAATAAAACGAAGGAAGTCTTGCTACGTCAAGTGAATCGCAATTAACACTAAATTCACAGGATTTCTGTTAAAAATAATTTTTCTTTGATCTTCATAATTATCTATCCGCAAGTAGAATCATATGGTTACTTAGTATAATTCTAGATAAAACATAATAGCAAAATAATGAAACTATTTTTGGACTCCCATTAAATGTTTTTAAGTTGAACCTAAATATTATCTAGTAGCAATGTCGTGCATTTTCTCCACATTTCACATTCCCTTACTTGAGTACTTAAGTGGAAAGCTTGCCATTTCGAAGGAAATAAAAATCCTTGATATTGTTAACATGTTAGTAACCGAATATGGCTATAAGAATGTACTTTCGTGCTTATAAAATGACGAGTGGGCTATTATGTAATAACAAACATGTTTCTTAACGTACGTACTCACGATTAGTGTAAGTTACGATAGCAATGTAACTATAAGGATAGGAAAGAAATTTATTACCACAATAAAAAATTGTACATGACTCAAGACTAGCTATACATAAGGTGAAATCAAAATAATTATCCTTTGAAGGAAGTGCTCTAACAGTGAAACCAAACGTTTTAGAAAGAAAGAAAACATTTATTGCCAACAACAAAAAGAGTTATATTAATCATCAGTAGAAAACAAGCTTTACATTTGTTATCCTCAACGTGGTCGCCACCCAGCACGTGGCTGCAGCGAATTAATTTCTACAGCGCTGATATTCTGTAATAGCTGTATAAAAAATATAATGTAACATAGACCATAGTTGTTGCTCATACAATTATGTATGTTTATTTACATTTTAAATAAAAAAACATGGGTCAAAAATTATAAAACATTTTGAGTTTCTCATAAAATTACGATGCATTCAATTGATAAATTCGTAATGAAAACTTATATAAATTTTAAAACGATATATGTTATATCATCAGTTTTTAAATTTATGATTTTGTAGTTTCGTAGACATAATTGTTATTAATTTTAAAATACTAGTCATGAAATCAAGCCATTACAAAAAGTTTATAGAACTTGTTACTAGGCATGGGTATGGATAGCAACCCGATATCTATATATTGGGTTCCTCTGAATGTTATAGCGGATAACAAATCATAACCCATTTCGATATCGCCCATATCGGTCGGACATTTATTTTCAAATATGTTAAAAGTCTGTTTTTCAATATTATTTTTTGGATAACAGACTTTTAACAAATTCTTTATTGGACCTGTATATAGACATTGTAACTAAAATATATAGATATTGCCATATATTACCCACCCATATTTGTTACTTTTGTGTTTCATAATACGCTACGACTAAATTTTAAAATATCGATACATATAATACGGCATATAATTTATCAATTTCGTCTTTCTTTCACATTATCAATATTAATAGCCTATTAAAAGCGTACTATTTATATTATTCTAATTACAAAGGTAATAAGAGTAAATTGAGGTAGCTAAAGTAACCGAGTATAGATCGGTAGGCTTATGCCTTGTCGAAATTAAACGTTTGTTACGAACAAATTAATTTCAAACCCGCTTTCCTCAAACAACAACAAAATTCAAATCGAGATTTGAAATCAAGAAAACAAACCCCTTATATAATATGTAAATCGCAGTCGAATTCACTTGAAACTCGGCACTGCCAGCTCCGGGATGCCGACTTAAAAATTAATTAGCCGAACGACCGGTGTAATCGCTGAAGCCTATGTCTATTAAGTGTTATCTACAAGAACCGCTGTTTATGTAATGTATACTTCAATTGGTCGTATCAAAGTAGTATTTCCATTGGTCTTTGAGGGCGCTTAAGCTTCTTTACTACCACGTACCATAAACTCCGTCTGCCAATCTCTGCCCTAGTCGACAGAAACGCACACTTGGTCCTACAATTTTGCCGCGGATTGCTTATATTTTATTTTTTTCTGTTCTCATGAAAATGTATGCCGTCTTTATCTGTCTATCTGCCTCGCTAAAGCGATCTTATATTTAATGTTAAGCGGACAACTTTATTCACAAGAATTTTGGCTGCGATGTTTAAGTAAAAACATCCTCTTTCTCCGAATATTATTTATTATAGCTGTGTTATTTTTAGATTTATAAACGACGAAAAGTCCGTATCTGAGACATATTACTTGATTTTCAAGTACAATTATGATAAACGCAAAACTTTATTGCCTCGGCTACAATTGTGAATTATTGTGGCATACGATTCGATCATTTGGCAGCAAAAATAATAATAGTTAAATAAAAAATAACAATTATGTTAATCAATAAAATAAATTGAGATTTGAATGTAAAGACAGAATAATCGTTATCATCATATCAGCCGTTAACTGTCTACTGCTGAATATGGACCTCCTCCATGAGGGAGATTTTGCCAGCAGTTGCCACGCTTGGCAGGCGGGCTGGTAACCTCAGTTAAGTTTTGGTGATGTTTTAAGAGGAATGCTGCTGCCCGTTGCTCGAGCATTAAATTCCTTTAGTCATCTCTTACGATACGCACAAGAAAAGAAGAGGTGACCCATTCTGTGCTGGGACCACACGACAAACTAGAATACCTTATGTTAACTCATTTAGGCCTTAGGACGTATGTAGATATTCCTCGTCAAGTTTTTATAACACCTTATGCTTCTAGATTCCAAGAGCATAATATACTATTGAAACCAATTTAAGGTTCTAAGAAAACGAACTAAGTTGGTTTAATAGATATTTTAACAAAAAATAATCCATGGAAAGCAATTA